CAAGGTGAATGAGGATGCATAATCGTTTGACATCAATGGTGCCCGGCATGGCCAAGTGGTTAGGGCACTCGACTGGCGGGTTCGAATCCCCGTCCTAACAAACATGCTCGCCCTTTCAGCCGTGGGGGCGTTATATGTGACGGTCAATCCCACTATTCGAAATTAAAAAAAAATGACATCAATGTTCTTCTATTTTCTTCAGTTTGTTTGTATTTTTGTTAACAGACATAGTAAAAAAATTTTCTTTGCTGTAGATGAAATAATAATTTGATCTAAGTACAAGATTTTTACTTCCCGATTTGTAGAAAATCTTAAGCGATAGAAAAAAATTAATATTATTTTCGAAATCTACATAGCTGAGTTATGGAAAATCCGTTATTAAAACCAAAACAACTTTTATGAAGTTTAAATTCGCAGGCCTGTGTTATTAAAACCATAGCACAATATTTTACACTTCAAACAATACTTAATAAGAGTATATTCTGTGTCATGATTTTCATGCTGTTTTTATTGTTTTTAGACGTCCATTAGCTCAAGTTATAACTAATGTTTATGTTTATAACGTTAATAACGACAATTTGATATTTTTCATATATCCGTTAATTTGTTTGTAACTAAGCACAAAGCATACAATGGACTATCTGTGCTCTGCCCACCACGGGTATCGAAACCCGGATTCTAGCGTTGTAAGTCCGCAGACATACCGCTTTGCCACATATCAGACTTTTAGAGATTAGTTAGTTAATATTTTTCGTATTTTGTTATTATCGGATGTCTTTTCATAATGAACAGCAAAACTGGCAAACTTACCATGTAAGTGAGGATATTTGTAGGACATGATTGGTGTAGCATGAGTCCTTGGTGAAAAACAAATGGCTACAAGTAGCAAAATTCCAAGAAGTGGTTGCAGAGACATGACACGTTTGTTACGTTTCTGTAACAGAAAACAAGCGATAAAAACATAGAGTAATAGGATTAGAAATATAAATATAATCGAGAGGATAAAGGCAAATTCTAGACAAAAAAAAAATGTTTTTCAAGCTTGTGGGATAGTTTAGATAGTAGGTTTTCGACTGAAGTTCTATCCCATATATTAACTATTCAGTAAGTGTTCTTCTGAGGATTGCGTTATGCTCTTATTCTTGGGTAACTAATTTTTAAAACAGTGTACTCTACAAAACTTTATGATAAAATAATACTTTTACTCAAACGCCCCGGGATGTGTTAAGTTGTAATAAGGTTCTTAGTCACGTGAATTTGCACATACTGTTTAATTCTGGAAAAAACCAGATTTAATTATGGATATAACTAACAGCTTCATCAAACTATAAACCGAAATTATAGAATTTCAAATAAGTACCACACTTGAAATCTTCTGTACATTTTACTACTTTCTTTCAAAGAGGCTAATTCAATCAGGAATACAATAATTAACGGTTTGTTGGTCCAAAAAGTATAGAAAGACAAAACAATGTTCGAACATACCGACACCAGCGAATTTCCTCCTGCTTTCTGTTATCCTATACGTTTTTCACGAGCACAAGCTCTGATTTAAAGTTCTAGAGCTAATACAGGGGTCTACAAACTTTCTTTCAAGGTCAGAACGTTCGTGCTTCAGTCCATCCTTATCAAGAAGAACATAAGAAAGGGGTTCACCCTTTATTTACAGCGGACACGGGTCTGTTCAACTTTTCAGATGGTTCCAGGCTATTATAAGTTGTCAACGAACAAAATCTGGATGTTAAAAGGGGAACGTTCTGAGGACGAACTTGGAATGGAAAGTGATTCGGTTAGCTCATCTAATCATTCAACTGTTGCTGCTCTCTTATTCGACATTTTTTATCTCGGTTCCTCCTGCTTTGTCCTTGATCATTGGTAATAAACGTGTTTTGAGAATTTAATTTGAACAAAATTTTTAAATGGCTGAGTATACGTTTATAATTTATATCACCACGCCCTCAAAAGATATAAAACTGTATAATAAAATAATAAAAAAATAACTTGAATCAATAAGATAAGATCATTTTAATTACACAAGAATGATGAAGCTATGTCATATAAGCCTGACGTCTTCGTTATACGTTAAGAAAACTGCACCCATATTAACAATTAGCAGATAAAGAAGTACGAGTTGAACATTAAATGAAAATAACAATATACCAATTTAACATTAATAACTACTTTGTGAGTTTCATAGAGAAACTATTGTTTCTCCTATGGAGTCATTATTGTTTTCTTTACAACAATGAACTGATGATTTTTTCCTAAGAGAAACAAACGGCTTGATTTGTCAACGGTGCTAAAAATAATACTAAATAATACACATGGAGTTTTTGAGTTCATTTTAACTCACCATATAGTTACCAAAATTGATTTAGGTGTGTGAATAATATCATGACATTGTGAATAATATCATGACATTAAATTACAGATTTTTTCTTTTCACAGAAGGATTGTTTGTTTGTTTGTTTTTAATCATGTACAAAGCTACACAAGGGCAATCTGTGCTCTGCCCACCACGGGTATTGAAACCCGGTTTCTAGCGTTGTAAGTCCGCAGACATGCCGCTGTGCCACTGGGGGTTTTTACAGAAGGAAAAATTTTAAATATGATCTGTGACGTGTAATGCATTCTTTGATTCGCCGCACTCGCTGCTGTGAACTGCAGTTATGAAGATTTGGAACCCTTTTTAACTCACCGTTACTCTCAAAACTCTAAGAATATTGTATACATTTCACCATTGTAAGAGGCCCTAGTGTACTTCTGTGGTTTGCTAATCCAAACTGTATTGATTAGCTTTTAATAGGTGAAACAAAAAGAATGATTTAATACGTCACAGATTATGTTTTCAGTTTTACCTTTGGTGAAAAGAAATGTGTAATATAATCACGAAACAATATAAGTATACTTGATAGCTGATTATGTGTGCGAGCATCGCGATACAACCCAGTTATTCGTGACAATTAGAAGATTTATCAGAAAAAAAAGTACATAAAGCGCTCTTAAAAATAAACCTAATAATGAAAACGCTTGCGGAAGGTCGAAGCTTTTTTTTTTCCAGAAATTAAGGCTCTGAGTGGAAGCAAAGGTAAGGACTTGGGGTGAAGGTAGTTACAAGGAATAGTGGTAACCTGGGGAAGAGTGAGGACCCGATCGTTAAGGTAATCAGAACCCACTGAAATAATACAAGAGGCTAAAGTAGACTTGTCGATGTACATGTGTATATATATAATTTAAATTAGATACCTGACTGTTATTTTAAGAGAATAAGCGTCACATATGCCATAACATTTTTGAGAGAAATCAAAATAATGAATACGTTTTTTTATTTTAAATAATAGTTTAACTTATCAGCGAAACCACCCAGTCTGTCCCTTGTCTTACCATTTGTGAGTGAAAATGTCGGTCGGTCGTGAAGGGAAATATAAAGTATGAAGGTATTTTAAATAGGCGTAAATGACACATGTGTAAGTAAATGGACCCCCGATATATATATGTTATGACAAAAATGTCTGCTACATACAGTACTTGTAAAGATATAAAATTCCAGAGAAGAAAACATTTACTATGACTTTAAGATATAAACATAGTTTTAAAAAATGTCAGCTGTCAAGGTGTATCAACAAATGCTACAGAACAAAACAATTTACGGTAAAAATAATTCACTATGGAATTACGACTATATAGAAATGTGTGCAAATCTTAAGTTTGCAACTCCGACATCGGAGCCCATGGACATTTTTTACGTTCACTCTTGAAAATAAATGAGTTAGAGGGGATCGGATTGAGGTGTTTAAGATTGTAAAGGGAATGGATAGTGTTGATGCATCATTTTTTTTCATACTTAACAGTGAGAATAGCAGGACTTGGAGGCACAAATATAAATTTTGGCAATATTAGGAGTCGTCTTCATCTTCAGCTAAGACAGTTTTATTTTTCTAACAGGTTGGTTGGCCTTTATAATGGGTTGCCTTTGGATGTTATGGAGGCAGTAAATT